AACTGGGCTTCCAACAACTTGTATACCAATAAATGCAAAAAGAATGTCTCAAGGTGAGAGTAGAACAGCATCATATTTAAACATATTCAAAACTACGAAGTAGTAGAACATATAATAGCTTCAGTAATGACTTTTTTACTGTTTTACAATATAATGAGAATCTAGTTTTTCTTAAAAGAGTGTTATTTCTGTGTAGTGGTACTCATTCTCTTTAATTAAGTAAAAAAAAACCTTTAAACTTTCTATTTAACATTCTTCTGAATTTACTGAATAAATTTTTTCCTAACCCAACAGATCACAGAAAAAAGTTGACTTTAAAAATACCTGGAATCCCAACTTATTTTTTATTGTATGACAGGAATAATGAACACGTCCTTGACTGCTAATTATTTTTTTCAATGACTTCTTAGAGTCTATTTAAGGAGCCCTACTACTTTCAAGTAAAGAGTTTGAAAACAACCATCTTACGCCATGCTGCTTTCCAGTGGAAAAGACCATATCACTCCCCTGCTTCAAATCCATCTGAAGAGTTGCTTCTTCCAGGAAGCCAATCATGAGCCTCCTAGGCCTTGACAATGAAAAAGACAAGGGTTGGAGTGCTCCTGAATCTACTCAACTAATGCTAATTAAAATTACCTCCAATAACACAAATTTTAAAAACTAGACATTCTTTCAATGGAGTAATGCATTTAGGGCACTAGAAAACTATTTTGTTAACTTATTTGTATTGCTGGGACGTGGTGGTATATGCTTATAGTCATAACTACTCAGGGGGCTGAGGCTAGGGATAACCTCAACTCAAGAATTTTGAGTTCCCTGCAGATTTAATATCCATACACATTTCTATGTTATTATATCCCTTGCCTGTCAGTTTGCCTAGGAAGTGCCAAACTAAATGAGTTCAGAAATTGAGCAGATGATAAATACTATTATTCCTAACACTAAGTGAAAAAGAATTAAAAGTACATTCAATTCTTTCTTCATTCACTAGGTCCAGCCAAAGTGGAATAAGATTCATAGGAAAGAAGAACCAATACACGGGCTATGGAAGGTAGAATTTTTCCAGAATCACTCCACTTAACTCCTTGAATTTAAAAAAAGACAAAATAATATCAACCTAATACTTATTCACTTATGATGTGCCAGTCACTATCCTAAGAGTTTTATATTCACTGACTCACTTAATCCCCACAAAACTCCTAAAATAGGGTACTATTATTTTCCCCATCTGATGAGAAAATGAGTTGCACAGCTAATAAGTAGCAGAGACATGTTTTCAATCCAGGCAGTATAACTCCACAGTCTGTGCTCTTAACCTATATTATTAATTTTTAATGTGTTTTTTTTTTTTTTCTAGCCAAAACATGGTTTTCAAACTGTTCCTTAGAGTCTGAGGATACCATGAGAATGCTTCTGGGGCCATTAAGGAAAGTAAAAGAAAGTAGAAAGGACTCTGAGGGCCGGCCCCGTGGCTTAGCGGTTAAGTGCGTGCACTCCGCTGCTGGCGGCCCGGGTTCGGATCCCGGGCGCGCACCGACGCACCACTTCTCCGGCCATGTTGAGGCCACGTCCCACATACAGCAACTAGAAGGATGTGCAGCTATGACCTACAACAATCTACTGAACAATCTACTGGGGCTTTGGAGGGGAAAAATAAATAAATAAAATATTAAAAAAAAAAAAAGAAGAAAGGACTCTGGGCACTTCACCCAACCAAAGCAAGTTCACTGTTTCTGTTTAAATATTCAGGATACATTTAAACTTTTCATAGTAATAATTAAAAAAAATTCTTCATGGTAAAAAGCAAAACGTTTGAAAATTACAATATCTAGACTATAATCTTCATAAGGTCAGGATCTATGTCCAAAAGTATCTCACATGTTTGACATTCATTAAATATTAACTTAATAAATTGAAACTGCATGGCAGTACTATACTCATCAGAAAAATTTAATACTCATTCATGCCATTACAGCATAGAAAATCTTGAACACCAATATAATTAAATTGAATAATAACAATAATAATATTAAATCACACTTGGATTGGTGCTGTTTTTAATCATGAGTGATCAAAAGATTTCAGTATCTCAAGGCTACTGATGGGTTAAGCACAACTCATTCTCACACAGAAAAAATAGGTATGGTTTTCACATTCAGTTTTTTAAGATATATCAATAATTATACTGCCTGATGTACTAAAAGGCCCACTTATATTTTTTAGGATATTGAATATCCCATAAATTGGTATCTTGAATTAATATAAGAAATCACGTTAAAACTAAAATTATCAGTAGAAATGTTATTTTATAATATTTTCTTGAGTTTATTATCTTTAATTTCACAGAAGTTACAAGGAAACTTGAAAAAAAGCATGATTGAGGAAACAGTATCCAAAAAAATTATTAAAAAAAAAGTCTATTCTATTAGTTATCTTTTACCCTTTTTGTCTGTGGACCTAAGAACTTACATGTGTGTTCATCAAACAGAAGAATAAAGGCTACTGCCACCATTTTATATTCCCTCTTACGGTGAATTTTCAGCTTGAGAGCTAACATCTAAATCAATTAAAAATCATAGAAGCTTTAAGATAATAAAACTGAAGTACTAGTTTTTCTAATTCTAGATTTGAATTAAAAGTCAAAAGCAGCAAAAATAAAAACTCATTTTTTCTCTTCCTCATCTTGACTGGAAAGTTTTATTTTAGAGAAAGTATAGTTTCCAACCAAAATACAGACATGAAATAATATCCACTGCTTAAAGTACACTGCTGAAATTTTCATAAAAAATTTTTCTTACTTTATGATTATTACCTGAAAATAAACTATCACCCTAAGAAACCTTACCCTCCTGGCTATATCTCAGTTGAAATAGAACATGTGAAGGTGAAATACATTGAAAGTGAGGGTCAGTATTATATCTACCAATTTATTGTAATAAAGTTGCTTTTAACAGAAGCAAAGACTAATAAAATGAAGTTTCTGATACTTTAAACATATATGAGAAAGTTCAACAAATGCCCAATCTAGCTCAACATAGCTAATTTAGATTATTTAACTTTAATACTCATTTCTGAGAAACTGCAGTTAATCATATGGAGAAAAAATACTAAACAGACTATATCAAAAGCACAGGAAACCAGAATGTAATATTGCCTCAGAAGGAATTTAGTCTGAATGCAAGCCAGAGCCTCCCATGAATGATTAGCATAAACACTAACTCTTGTTCTCCTCTGACAGGCTTATGCTATTAAAATATTTTCTTAATCCTCATGAAAGAGCACTAAGATTGATTTCCTATACTAGAATATTAAGAAAAAAATCCTTATAAGCTACGAGTCTCTAGAACCAAAGTTATTTTGGCAATGCAAGGATAAGGCGTTATATAAAGATTAATATGACTTGGTGATTCGAGATCAGGGTTTTCTGGTACTGATGTAACCACTGTTTATATAATGCATTTTCCAGAGAGGTACTAAAGATGATTTTCAGTGATGAGGTAGGGGAGTCCAACCGATATCCAAAAAAAATCACAATTTGTCTGCCTGTCCCTATCTCTGACAGCTCAGCATCCATGCACTCTACTTCGTTATCTAAGTAACTGTCAGGATAATAATATATTTTGGTTTGCTCTTCTCAGATGAGTTCCCTTTATCCTCTTCCAGAAAAATAAAGATAAAAATTTTTAAAATTTAATTGTTCATTTAACTAGTGCTAGGATCCTAGAAAAACAATTCTGAATAAAGTAATTCACATTAAAGTATAAACAATATCACTCATTGAAGGTTTAAAGGGACAGTTTATTAACTACACAGTATCTACTTGAGCAGCTAAGCTATTTCCTGAGTGGCTCAATTCTAAACCAAGAAATCTGAAATCAACCAATTATGCCCCCTTGTGCATTTCTAAAAGATTGCCAACTCCTGTTCTAGAGTGTTATAACAGTTAAATTCTAATTTTCTAAGAATACTATAAAGACAATAGTTAATTTAGGAGGTAACTGGATTAAGGACAATGCACAAAAGGATTTATTTAGAATTTTGAATGAATAAGAGTCCTATACTTTTCTCAGATAGTCAAAAAGATCTGCAATAACGTCCTTATCAATCCACACTCTGTATTTAATCTATATCTTTGGAGGTTGCCTCCTGGGCATAGGAAATTCAGTATTAAACTATGAATAGAGAACAGAATATCAAAAATAGTATATCATTATTTTGGGCTTTCTGAAACACAGAATTTTATTTGTAAAAGGGGAATAAAATAACCAGCTCTAATTTTATACAGAGTGACAGTGATATTAAAATATATATAGATCTCGTTACTTCAAAATCAACCAAAGACATAAATATTTAACAAGTTAAGTTGGAAGAGGGTATAGACCAGAGCAGGAAGAAAAGGGAAGCTCCACGGAGAAACAAAGGGAAAAAAGGGGCAGTGATCTCTTATATCCCCAAATTAAAACATCTTTAATGGAAAGTTATTTGTTAAAATATGTATACAAAAGAAGGTTCATAAAATTTTCTCATTTTTAAAAATCTTAATTTCACATTACGGTAAAAAAACAGGTTTAAAAATAATGTTACATAGAGTTAGAGGATTGGTGACCATGAAATATTCATTCTCTAGCATTCCCACCAATGTCCAAAAAAAGGCAAGACACTTCTACTGAATATGAAAAGGAGAGATCTCACTAGTTTTTTTCTTCTTCTCAAAAAGCCTAGGTTTTCTGTTTGGAATTCTATTTTTGCATGAAGTAACATTTAACCCACGGTGTGGGGGTCAATCACATGCCACCTACCGAGGAATACGATAACGGGATTCTACTATCAGCACCAGAATGAATGAGTCAAATGTGTGTGCGTAACGCTTCCATGAAAATACAAAATCTCAAAATACATAGAATACTCATGTTCTGACATGTAAAATCCAAGTGTACTTTTTTTGTATTACTGATTTCCATGAAACAAACACATGAGTTTCACTTTGTTTGGAAACCTACCTGAATAGCTGAGTTCATGAAACACGTATTTCCCAAGTTACTTAGGCCACAGAGGCCTGGCTGTTCATTGTTTCTTCCAGGTTCTGAATAATCATAGTTCTTATAAGCAGTATATGATGGGAGACAATAATTTGAGTTTTTCACACTGGAAGAAAACAAGAGATATTTTTTCATAATGCAGCCAATTATTACAATATAGTTATAATGAATAGAGTACTTGAAACCTACTTGAGATAGATGGTCGGTCATTAAATTTTTTTATAAAGCACTTAACTCAGGTACTTTTAAATACATGAACCTAAATCAAAATACGCCCCTTAATTAAGATCCTCCTCATCCAATCAATAAAATCAGTGCATCAAATACCACACCAACCAATACAAACCACTATTATATCTTTCTACCCTTGATTAACTGGAGCAGCTTCACAGCTTGCTCCATTCTTCATTGCTCCATCAAATTTAAAACATTCAGATTTTAAACACCACCCGCAGCAATAAATCATCTCACTTATGTCCCTTTTAACATCCTGCTACTGTAACAGAGTGAGAACAGCAGAAACAGGGAGAGTTGTGCTTTAGTTACAGGTGAGAGGAGAGATTTCCAAGGCCTCTGTGAGATCACTGTTCTGATGCACTGAAGATTCTATTTATAGTTTCTATGCTAGACCATCAAAATCTAGTATTCAAATGTAGAAAAAAGCCTGGGATGATCAGGGATGCAAAAATGAAATGATTCTAAGCAAGTACATTCCAGCATTATTTGGCTTTTCTTCTAGTTTGTTAGAATAAGGCAGGTTACTTAACTAGATGAATATAACTCAGGATAAGTTATACTATCAGTATAATAAATATTAATCTTAAAAAAACAACTATATAATTTTCAACCTTAGAGAATCAGGGTAATTTTGAAAAGAACTAAGAAAAGTCAATCAATAAGTTAAATAATCCCTTTTAACATGTAATAAAAAATAATTTTGTGAAAAAGGGTGAATTTTCCCTTAATTTTTAATAGGTTATAAAATATTTATGATAGACACTTTGGATGTAATTTAAAAGTATACTTTCAACCATCATTTTTTTATTCATTAGAACAAACCTGAATGAGAATCAAGGTCATTTGCCAGAAGCAAATGATAATATAAATAAAAGAATACAGTGTTACAAATAAATGATGAATCAGTAACTGACAATCTCAATCGGCTACAATTTACTCCTAGTATTATTTATTAAAAATAGTTTTTACTTATAATTTCAAATACTCTCTTTGTAGCTTCTATACTCTCACTTAGTGAACTACTGCCTGTTCTAACAAAGCTTTTAGTAAACACACACACACCCTAACAAGCTAAACAGGTAAAACACACAAAAGCACACCAACCAAAAATTACACAAACAGTAATAGCCCACTAATATTTTTGCACTTTTAAGAAAACATTCCCCTTCACCACAAACAAAAAGATCAAATCCCAGACTCAAAAAACAATCCACTCGGAGATTAAACAAAAATAGCAGGGCCCAAAGAAATGCAACCTTGATCAAATCAAATTCAGAGTTCCCAGACTTGTAGCTATTTACTTGTTTTACACTTAAAAAAAAAAATGTACAGAACAAAAACGAGAATGCAAGCATCTTTTGGTTTTTGCATATCACTAGCCTTATGATTCATATTTTATTTTATATTCCCAGTAACTAATAAAGTGCAAGGCACCTATTAGCAATTCAATATATAGTCACTTGATGATTGGCTTCTTGAATCTAACTTCGAGGACATGTAACAAAAAGCTGAATCCTGTCTTTCTTTTATTCCTATAAGTACTAAAAAATCAAGGTTGCTATATATTATAAAAACGCAAGGCCTACTGTTTCTACACATTCTACACATTCAAGAAAAAATACATATATTCTGGCTATAAAATTATAATAAAATTTAAGCACGTAGAGTACACAGGGAAAGTATGCCTAAATGCACACTCACGCCTACACGTGCACACACACGCACACAAAGTGAAAAGACTAAAAGCACAATTACATGCTTTTTACATAAGTATATATTCAGATATCTGTCTCTCTTCACATGTAACACAAATGGATGCTGGAAGCTCTATTCTCTGTGGCAACAGGATGAAATTTGCTGGAATAGGGATTCCTATTTACTGAGAAATGAACAAAAAACTTATTTGCAAAAGCAGTTTTTTGGTTTTGTCTTTTAAAATCTGAATCCTTAATTAAAGGATATCTACATTTTAGTTTAAGCGATGGGGTAAGATTTCCCAAAGACTGAGATTGTCTAGATCCTCAGTGGTAATGAAAACGGATGAATTTAAAATATTTTAATATTATCTTGATTAATCACTTATAATCCACATTTTATGTGCTTTCTAAATTAAATACTAAAGTCTATCATGAAAAATACCAAAATCAGCAGTTCTTTAAACACTTCGACAAAGTAGATGGAAATCTAGGCCCTAAGGGCAGCCTCTATTATCTTTCATGACTGTTTCTGCTACTTTTTTCCTAAAGATTGTAATCTAGTCTTCATTCTATAAGGCTATGCTACTTTGCAAAACTGAAATAATTTGCCAGTAATCTTGACGGGAATTTAATACCATACTAGATAATTCTGTATTATAAATCTATCATCCTGAATGAAGATACATTAAAAAAGTATCATTCTTTTTTTGTAAAATTGAGCCCTTACCTTACCATAAAAATTTCAGATTGACTTTTCAGTTAGCACTTATATTTGATGTTATAAACATTATAAATCTATAATTTAATCCTCATAACTATAACTACGCTCACTTCTCAGTTAATGAAATGATGCTTTCAGCAAGTAACCTGTCAAGAGCCACATGGCTAGCCAGCTCTGGCAGTCTCTTAAAATCCAGTTCCTTTTCATGGCTTAATCTCTTTCAGGGAGTCATTTCCATTTCAAATAAAAGCTTTAAATGAGTTAACAGAAAAACAGAAATGTGCTCTGATGTGGAATGCCAAGAGTCGAGACAATAAGTACATTATAAAGCGTTTTTTAAAGGCAGTATGATATCAAAGCAAATGTAGCAAGACAGAAAAATGTAGGGACTAGACAGAGAATTTGACACATATCAAAAATGTACTTAAATTATAATAAGGCAAAAACAAACTGTACACACTAACAGGTAAAAATACTACACAGGGTAAACAAACAATATTCTGGAAACTCATTCTTCACAGTATTAGTCTTTAACAAACTATTAAACTTAAATGAAATAATTCCTTTATAACCACGTAATATCCTTATTTCTGGAAATGAGAACTTTATATATTAGCAATGTATCAGCTTGATTCAAGACAAATTTGTAAACAAATTTCATATAAACTTATGTCATAAGTATTGACTTTAATATATACTTTATACTTGTGGAATATATCCACATATATGAAGTCCTAAAAATTTACTTAATCTAAAAAGGTCATTACCCATTTTACATACTTTTAATCAAAGAAACTACACAATTTCTATCCGAAGTCTTAAGGTGCTACTTATTTCCACAAGTCAAATGGGAAGTCAAGAAATAAACTTTATGTAAAATAAATGTTTAGATAATCATGATGATAATATTAATTCAATTTTTTTAAAGTAAAAAAAAAAAAACTTTCCATTTTATAAATGTTTAAATTTTGTTCCTTACTAAGAAAGGTAAGTTTTATTTTTAAGCATGGTGGTACCTCAGTAGCTATTTGCTATTAAAATTTCTCAATATGAAAGGCCTATTTTAGTGCCTAAAATAGACAAACGTAAATAGCTAAAAATATAATCTAGTCATAGGAGTAGAATCATTAGTTAATCATGTTCTAAACTTAAGAAAACACTCTAATTCCTCTCTCAATATTTTATGCATTTAGAGGTTCTGAGATCAGATTGTACTGTCATATTTTTACTATGACAGGTAAATAAGACAAAAACAGAAACACACCAGACCACATATACTAATATGGTGACTCCGTCAAAATAAAGTCTATGTTCAGTACAGTTTACAATGTTAAAAATCTCTCCAAAGAATAATTATAAATACATGTTATACTTGGAACTGAATTTTTTCTTTTTTGGTGAGGAAGATTAGCCCTGAACTAACATCCGTTGCCAATCTTCCTCTTTTTGCTTGAGGAAGACTGTCCCTGAGCTAATATCTGTGCCAATCTTCCTCTATTTTGTATGTGGGTTGCTGCCACAGCATGGCTTGATGAGTGGTGTGGGTCCGAGAACCCCAGGCCATCGAAGCGGAGCACGTGAACTTAACCACTATGCCACCGGGCTAGCCCCTGAATTTTTTATAGTAAATGTGGGAGCCATCTGCAATTGGTAGAAATAAAAGTAACAGTTTATCTCCTATGAAAAAATACTTTGGATGAATTTAATTAAAAGATATATAAAATACAAACCAGATTATAGGGGGATATTGCCTTTCACTCTTTTGCCTGTGGATATATATTTTTAAATAGATGAGAACATACTACACTGCAATTATGGCCATTCATAGAGTCTTCAATATTTCACTATTACAGTACAATGTAATGTTATTACACTATGGTACACATATCTTTATGAACTACTGAAATAAGGAAATGAATGTTTCAAATCTTCTTGATCATACAGCAAAGTCTTCTCTAGAAAAGTTGGACTAACCCTCCAATCACTCAAACAGAATCTTTACAGGAACAGATATCATCACTTAATTTTTCCCAATGAGATTGAGGTGGGGGAAAGTGGATGGAGTTTTTTTTTTTGTGAGGAAGATCAGCCCTAACATCCGATGCCAATCCTCCTCTTTTTGCTGAGGAAGATTGGCCCTGGGCTAACATTCGTGCCCATCTTCCTCTACTTTATATGGGACGCCGCCACAGCATGGCTTGACAAGCAGTGCGTTGGTGCACGCCTGGATCTGAACCTGTGAACCCCGGGCCACGGAAGCTGAGTGCGAGCACTTAACTGCTGTGCCACCGGACCGGCCCCTGGATGGAATTTTTTATGGTTTTAATTTACGCATGTGAATTTGAACATTTATATATTTATATATTTTAATTCTTTTATTCTTATTGCTCAGCTGCATCATCTGCCAGTTTTTCTGTCTTAGAAAATTTCTCAATGATTTTTATGAGCTTGATATATTAAGAATATTTACCCTTTGTCATTTGTAGCACATATTTTTTTCCATTTATTTACTTTAACTTTTTATACGCCTGACAATTAAAAAGCTAATTTAATTTAATTTAAAGTTTTAAAGAGAAATTCTCAATAGTGATCCAATTTTCCCACCAATTTCCTGGATAATCTGCCTGTTCTTCATTAGCATAGGATGCTTTCTGATCACACTACATTCTTTCATATATAGAGGTCTGTTTCTGGGCTGTCTTTTCTATTCCATTGATCTGTAGGTATATTCTTGGGTCCCTACTATGCTGCTTGAATTCTTATTCAAGAATTCAGGCTGTGTTCTTTAGTAGCATTAATGCTTTCTCATTATTTTTCCTTTCCAAAATTATTTTAGCTATTCTTATATATATTTATAATCCAGTTATATGTTAACATCATTCTGTTAAGTCCCATCCCCTCAAAAAATATGAATTTTAAGGGAAAATTAATTAAACCTATAAATTCAATTAATGGTATTATTTTAAAGATTATTTCACAAATAGCTTTAGTCTTTTTGAATTTACTCTTTGGGATAATCAGATGCCATTTATGAACTGGACAAGTAGTACAAATATTTAATTACATAAATACTGTTAACCTAATACATAGACTACAATGTATACATCTAAGAAATAAAAAGAGGATAATCATCTCTGGATTAAAGTTCCTTCCATAATTTGACTGGACTAATTACAAATAATAAAAGCTTTCTTTTTATCCTTTTCTATAAAATAAAAGCCATGCTAACTTTCAAGGTAATACACTCATGTCAAATGTTCTGGTGAAGCCTAAGTGATTTTCAACCTTTTTTCTTACAGCAATATAAATATAGCACTCACTTTCACATAACTTTTATAAATTCCAAGATTCTGAATATTATTCATGATGGTGCAAGGAAATTGTTTCTCTAAATTTTTTAAAGAAAAAGTGCTTGCCTTTTTGACAAATGTAAAAATTTGTGTATGCTTTCCAGTTGAGAATCACAGATACACACTTTAAAAAAAATACTATATATTGTAGGTGATTACATATCTAGTTCTAAAATGACATCTGAAATTTATACTCTTCCTAAAACACTGAGTTCTAATAGACTTGTATATATATTTCAATAATTAGTGTTTAGAATGTAAAATTCTGAAAGTGCTTTATTTCTCTTTTAGTAAATTATTATAGTATATGTATTAAATCAAGAAGAAGTTTATAACTGTGCTTTCTTTCTTGTGAAGTTACTCCTAGAAGAACTGACCATTAATTTAAAAGAAAATCACTTTTAATGCATTAAGACTTTTATCCTAAATTTTAGATACAAGAGATTTTTTGCAACCACAATAGGGCGATCGATTAAACAAAGAGTTTTTAAGATTCAGTGCTTACTTTCTGTTGTTGATGTTGTTATAATTATTTGATAGAGATGAAGGAGAGATCTTTGGTAAAGTTGAAAAATTGGATGCACCTGGGGACCTTTAAAAATATGAAAATGTTAAATTAGATAAAAAATGCTGAATTTTGAAATTAATTATGAAATAAAGAAAAGAACTAACAGATGACAATGTATGTAGTAAATGACTGCTGGAAAACAGATTTATGAGCAAAATCACTACATATCCTTCGGTTTTCAATTTCCAATGTATTCTTTCACATAAAAAATAATAATACAAAAGGGAACTATTTTCAAAAGAAATTTATCAAATTAAATATACAACTTGATATTATTCCTATAAATCTACTAACCCAATACACCTATTTCTGAGTTCAGGTAACCATTATTAATATTTTATAATCAATAATTTCCTTACATCTATGGAATTAAAATATTAATTTTTTAAGGAAGCATGTAAAAGAAATCCACTTTGTGTCTCAGTAGGTACCATGGCATTCTAATTATACACAACATTGACACAGATCAGAGGATTGGCCAGTTCTTTAAAATTTAAGGCAATGGGGATAGAATAGTATAAGAGAATTTCAAACATAATCCCAAGAAGTAATTTTTGGCCAAAGTTGTCTCAGCAAAAACTGAAAAGACATAAATCTGACTATATATTACACACCTCACTAATTCAGAATCTTTTTTGGATTACTAATGGCCTTTAATCAACTAATGTGCTTTAAAGACATGATTTATATTCAATAAATCCATTATATGGGAATAATCACTTCAAAGTACTTAAACATCTCTGAAAGATTTAATTTCCCTTGTAATGTTGTAAACAATTTTAATTTACTAGGCAACATCTAGCTCATGGGCTGTAAAAAGCTAACTTTCAGTCCAGTATCTCAGTCACCAAAAATTCTAAATTAGTGAGGCCCCAAGTGATTAGTTTTTTAAAATTATTTTGTTTCCTCTACTCAGGAACTAATGAACAATGAAATAGTCAATGGGCAGGACAGTATAATACACAAAATCTGCTTTTTAGGTAATTTGGTGCTAAATCCATATACTTGCAATGCATTATGCAGAATAAATGGCGAGTAATTTCTTACATATAAAAATTTTATTTAACTTTTGAAGTTTTATACATTATAAAACCTTGGTAGAATTTTTTTCTTCATTTTAAAGGAGGTTCTTTTTGTTGATGCAGGCTGTATATAGGTAATTTACATTAAGCAAGACTTCTATTTAGGTGTTTTCTGACAAGACCCTTATAAGATTTTATTTTACTGTATTGTACTGATCAGCTAAAAACACAAAGTATAATCAACCAAGTTTTAATATAAAACAATGTAGAGAACACATTTAAAAGGTAATTTTAATATCCTAATATTCTAAGGAACTACTTTTGAAATATTAATAGAAATATAGAAGTATCCTGGCATTTTTGCCTTCATGTTAAGAATGCTAAATTAGGAAAAATATCTAAATTTATTAGAGATTGAGTTATAATGAATTAAGGAGATTAACTTTTCAAAATGTGATCCATTTGACTACAATTTAATTCAATTCACTACAACTTTCAGGAACACAGATAAAAACTGAAATGTTCCCTTGAATTTTACATATAGTAAAAATTACGGAAATAAAGATTCATTACTACATCCAATAAAGTGGCTAAGGCACACACACATATATATATTTTTTCTTTTTCTGCCCATCTGTGGCCTTTTTACTATTCATGAGCAACTCTACCCAAGGACAGCATTAGAAGTTTCCATAAAATTCATTAAAACACTCAAACATTTATGAAAGGATTACTATATGCTTTGCCTTTGATAAATACTAGAAATACAAAGACAGACACTTGCTCACCTCAAACAGCTCACAGTCTAATGGGGGAAAACGACACACAAGCAAAACAACTATAAAACAGTTGTAAGTCCTATAACAACAAATTTAAAAATTATAACAAAACATAAAATTTTGTGGGTAGTAAGAGGTGATTATAAATGATGTGCACAGTTGTGGGAACTGGAAGTGCGAGTATTCCAGGTGGAAAGAACAGCACATGCAAATGTATGGGATGATAGAAACTATGATGCAGTTAGGGAATTACCAATAAATTCAGCTTGGCTGAAAGAGCAGAAAGCATATAGAGATAGGAACAGAAGTTAGTAAGGGAGCAAGGGTAATAAAGGACCTTTCATGTTCTATGGAAGAATTTGGATTTTATCCAATTGTGCTGGGGCATGTTGAAAGATTTTAATAGAGCATCAACATAATCAGATTTGTATTCTAGAAAGGTAACTCTTGAGGAAGAGAAAGAGACTGAACATTGGGAGATCATTTAGGAGACTATAAAAATAACAGAGGTAAGAATTAATAAAGGCTGGGGCTAAATCAGGGCAGGGGCAAGGGCAACACGTCTTGGATATTTAGGAAGCGGTTCTCCAAGCACAGTCCATGGACTCTTAGGGGACTCCAAGATCCTTTCAGGGTGCCTATGAGGTCGAAATTATTTTCATAGTAACACCAAGTTGTTATTTAAATGTTATCTGACCTCTTTCACTGGGTATATACTTGCGCTGATAGTGCAAACAAGAATGGTGGGTAAAACTCTGACACCTTAGCATGAATTAAAGCAGGAGCACCACACTACATACTATAGATATTGTATTCTTCTCTGACTCCTGTAGTAGAAAATAGTTTCACTTAAAAATATCCACATTGAAAAAATAAAAAGTATTGATTTTATTAAATCTTGACCCTTAATTACACTTCTTTTTAATATTGTGTGACAAACTGGGAACTTTGCATAAAGCACATCTGCTACACACTGAAGTAACATGGTTGCCAAGAGGAAAAAGACTTGTGCGATAATATATTTGAGTTTCAGGTGGAATCAGCCACTCTTCACGACACCACTCTTTACTCTTTTACATAAAAGGCTATCTGGCACATGTTCTCAAAAATGAATGAAGGGAGCCTGTTACTGTAAGAAAAACAACTTAAAGTATTTGTTGCTGATGATAAAATTCAAGTGTTCAAGCAAAAAATAGAATTTTGGAAAATTTGACTTTGCCACTGTGAGCTTGATAGCTTCCTATTACGTAGACTTTTTCATAAGATTGGTGATGTTTTAAGAAATGTGATTTAAAAAAATATTGTATAATGAAACATATCAACATTTGGAATATCTGCATAACTCAGTGAATCACTATTTTCCAACTGCATCAAGTTACACATGACAGATTTTAATGTAACTGTATAAAAAGTTCATTGATATGGTTTCAGATTCCACATTGCAAGTAACCTTTCATCATTAAACCACCACTGGTTGAGTTCTGATGTGCTATCAATTATTTGATACAGTCCTCCCTGTTCCAACTACATATCTATGTGAGGCTGAGTATTCTTCAGGTACTTCAACCTAAAAAATACATCACAATAAATTGAATGCATAAGTATATAGCAGAATTTAGCTGTCTTCTATTCAGTAAGATATTAAAAAAATCTGCAAAAATGTAAAACAATTCTACTCTTATCAGTAAACGTTTTTCATTTTTGAAAAGTTATTTTCATAAAAATATTATTTATGTCAAAATATTTAGTACTGTCATTTATAAATAAACATTAAAAAATTTATTTTTAATTTCTAACATGACAAGTATCAACAGCTATAACCCACATAACAGAAGTTCTTTGGGTCCTTAATAATTTTTAAGAATGTAAAGGGGTCCCAAGATCAAAACGTTTGAAAACGTCCTGTTTAGGAGGTAGAATCTGCAAGACTTGCTGACTAATTAGATGAAAGAAATGAGGCTGAAAGAGGAACTCAAGCTGGCACCTGAAATAGGGAATATAGGATATGGATATAGTTTAGGCTGAGGGTATGGAAGAAGGTGGAGTAAACAGATTTCGAGTTCAGTCCAACATGGTGAGTCCTCATGACATTCAGGAAAAATCTGGAATTGAGAGGAGTTCTAGGCTAGAAATATAGAATGGCATATTCATGTAAATTTGAGCTGAGGGATAGGATTAGCATAGAGTCCATCCACGGATTCTGAGAACTTTTTATGGTATGAAAGGAGAAGTCCTCAGAAGGAAATTTGTGGAATATCAATGCATTTAAAGTGTGAGCAGAGCTGTTGCATATAGCCAGTGAAGTTGTATACTGCACAGTGCCAAGGAAGGCCTTTCAAACAGACTGCAATGTGAAAAATATTCTCAAGAGCTACAGAGTACACAACCGGCACAACCAAATATGGCAGCCATGGAGAGGAAGACAGCCAGCCACCTAGAGGATTGGTCAGAGAGGTGAAAATAGTCCTTGAAAAACTGTGGTATCATGGATACAAATTAAGAGTAAGAGAAATTCTTTAGGAGACAGTTATCCAAAAAAAAGTATTAAAGAGAGGTCAAATAAACTAGGTTAAAAAAAAAGTCAAATAAGGACTTTGTTAAATCCTGTGTGGGTGGTAAGGAACAGTAAGTACCGACTTTATTTAAAGAAGTTGGCTGTCAAAAAAAGAAAAACTAAAGAAGGGTAGTTGGAGGAAGTTTATGTTTTTTTTGGTTTTGTTTTTAAAGATGGGAGAGATTTGCTTATATTTACAGGTGGTGGGAAGATGATATTGGAAAAGAAACAATAGAATGAACTAGTGTTAACTGAGTATCTATTCTATGTGTGGCAGTATGCTAGGCATTTATATATGTAGGACAGAGGAGATAATGAAAGAAAAGAGCAAGGTCTAGGAAGCGCTGAGATAAATACCACTGGTAGAGAGATTGTCCTTAAATAGCATGGAGATCAGAGAGATGTGGATGTGGATGTGGTCCACAGGTAAATTTGAAGTATGATAACACTTTTTAAATGCTATTACTGATGAAAGTTAATAGATCACTTATCTTTTCTGAGTCCAACTTTTGATCTAGGTTACACATAGTCCAACCTAGCTAACGTTTGTGGAGTTATTTTAGGGGTTGACTAATCAGAACGTGGATTTATAACCTGAGCCCTTAGCTCTTTTTCTTTGATGTAATTTGCAAATCACACTGTTCATTAGCAATTCTGTTCTAGTAGTTT